TGGGAATGTGGGTCACCAGGGCTCTTCCCAAACTGGGTTCTGTGATGGAGGATGAAGTTGGAGCAGCGGATGAAGCATTTCCTGCAGTCAGGGCACTCACAGGGATTCCCTTAGTGGTGCCGGCATTGGTGTTGGATCAAGTGAGAGCTACAGTAGAAGCTCTTCCCACACTCGGGACACTCGTAGGGCCTCTCCCCAGTGTGGATGCRCTGGTGGATGATGAGGGTGAAGTTTCGCTTGAAGCCCTTCCCACAGTCAGGGCAGCGGAAGGGCCTCTCATCTGTGTGAATCCGCTGGTGTGTGAGGAGATTGGAGCTCTGTGAAAACCTCTTCCCACAGTCAGAACATTCGTAGGGCCTCTCCCCAGTGTGGATGCGCTGGTGGTGGATCAGTTGAGAGCTGCAGCTGAAGCCCTTCCCACATTCCCCACACTCGTAGGGCCATTCCCCAGTGTGGATCAGCCGGTGATAGATCAGGAGGGTGCTTTTACTGAAGCTCTTCCCACACTCCAAGCACTTGTAGGGCTTCTCCCCAGCATGAAGCTGCTCATGGACGCCCAGCTCCAAGCCCTGGCTGAACCTCTGAGTGCCTTCCTGGCACAGGGAGGGCCTTTCCCTCTCAGAGTACCCTGGGCGGTGTTTGCAGCCCCTCTTTACACAAGATCTCCGTGACTTTTCCTCCCCACTGGATTCCTGTGCTGTGCAACTGCTCAAAATGGCCTCTTCCATGATGTTCTGCTGGGGGGATTTGTCCTCCTTGGTCTCCATCCTCAGCTCATTGCCTGGGGTAGGAAGGACATGGAGAGGATGGGATTTGCTTCCATGCCAGAGGGAAGGGGAAGCAGATCCCCCCCAGTCCATCACTGGCAGGTTGGCGGCGGCAGTGGGGTTGTCCTGCAGCCAGGAGTGATGGAGGAGAGGGAAAAGGAGTGATGACTTCTTCCTCACCTGCCTGGGTGTCCTGGGACGTCTTCCTCTTCTTCGCAGCCCTCTCCTCCATCCAGC